TGGGGGGGGGGGGGGGGGGGGGGGGGGGGGGGGGGGTAGACTTTTAACTCTTAGTTTCTCCACATTGCTGATTCTGGATAGCTTAAAATTTTAGGAATCTTTGCAACCTCGCAAAAGTAAAATCGAAATTTGAGAAGTTACCTTCGGGTCGTTTTATTTGAGGGAAGTGGAGGGAAGAAAACAGTGTAAATGAATTCAGGAACTTCCGCATAAGATGGACTAGGCCGTTGGTGTAAAATTCTTTAAAGCACTAAAATCAATTTAAAAAGGGCCTAGAAAGACAAAATCCTTGAGTAGTTTGATTAACAGACTGGCAGACGTGTAATTTTGAAGTATTTTTAGACAAATTTCGCCAAAATTGAAATGTATCATTTAGTGGCGTGAATGGAAGCCCTGAAGACAGTTGGGAGCGACAGTGATGCTTTTTAACTTAGTTTTTTTGTGGTAGTCGAAGACAAAATTTCATATTTGGGAGTGGGAGTCTCTAGGAAGTGTTACGAATACTGGCACTTTACTAACGGCAGTCGTCCTGGTTCCTCTTCCACGGGGCTTAATTCGGAACAAAGCAGGGGCAGCTTCATGTTTATAGTAACTAAATTTTATTAATTTTAGGTTCGTCGAATTAGCCCACCACCGCCGTCATCGCCGCAGCCACGTAACCAGAACAAAGTGCGTAGTCATCGTCACGTACCACGTGCTGATGGTGAAAATGCATCATTTACAAGCAGTTCGCGGATCGAGACAACTGTCGCTCAGGTTGTTGAAAAGGCTGCCGAGTATGCACGACGATATGATGAGGTAAAATTTCCCGCATTATTTTTTTTACAAGGGGAATGAAATTTCTGTATTAAACGGTTGTAGGGTAAATCTTTTTTTTGCTTTGAAATTGTAAAGATAGGCATAAAAATCTTTGAAATTGTCAAAATTTCTTAGGTCAGAAGCTAGAATTACGTTTTTTTTTTGGTTTCATATCTTTGGGAAGGAAGAATGGCATGTAGTGAACGCTTTGTTCGTAGAGGTACAGTACCCTTGCTGCTGGGAAACTTACTTTAGCTTTGTCAAGGGCGGTAAATATTACTCGATATATGCGGAATAATTGCCAGTTGGGACATCACTAGGTTAAGCAGGCGGAAATGTAAAGCCGTATGCGGGGCTCTCGATGATTTTTATGCGTTTTGTGCTGTATAGCAGCGCTGTGTGTGTTTCCCACATTTTGTCCCGCACTTTCAACTCGGGAACCACAAAAGCTTGGCGGCTGAAATTTTGGTATAGTGTTGCCCGCCAGCGGATGACGCGGCAAATTTAAATTCAGCCTTCCCGTACCCGCGGGTAAGACTTACGGGTAAATTAATATCTCGGAAACCACGGGGTCTAGGAAGCTGAAATCTTGCGGTAATGACCCCCTGCCCACGCTCAACCTCACCCATTCAAATTCAATGTTCCCGTACCCCCGGGTAACACGTACGGCCCCGCGAAAGTTTTTTGCGGATAACTTATCTCGGGAATCATGGGGTATCGGAAACTGAAATTTTGGGGTAATGACCCCCTGCCCACGCTCAACCTTGCCCATCCAAATTCAGCGTTCCTGCGCTCTTAAGTATCACCTACAC